ACGCGCATATTAATGCTACAATATCAGAATGGCATGAAACGTAAGAAATGATTGAAAGATTGGAAATTTCAGTGAAATATTTCATGAAATTTCACGATGCTGTGAAATATTTCATAATTTCAGAGACTAGAGTTTGCAACTCGCACTCAAACACAAGGTGGCAAAATTTCATGAAAAGTAAAGCCTTGAAATTTCACGTGAAATATTTCATGAAATTTCAGAAAGTTATGAAAGAATTGGAAAAATATCGGTTCCTTTTCATGTTTCGCAATATGTAAAAATTGTGACTTTCTTCTATTTTTGTGTGTTTGATGCGGGTCGCATACTCTAGCCCCTGAAAAATATGATGTATTTCACAGCCCGGTGAAATTTCATGAAATACTTCACAGCCCTGTGAAATTTCATGAAATATTTCACTGAAATTTCAAATCTTTCATTTCTTTCTTACGTTTAATGCCACCCTGCAGCTCAAACACACAAAAATAAAAGGAATTAACAATTTTTACATTTTACGAAACATGAAAAGGAGCCGATATATGCTTTTCGATATCTTTCATAATTTTCTGAAATTTCATGAAATATTTCAAGATTTTATTTTTCATGACATTTTGGTGAACCAGGCAACCTTGATGATTTCACTAAAACACGCCAGCACACAGTTTCCGTGTTACGTGTTACCTCCCTGGTAAAAATGGGCAGTAGAATATGTGTTCCAAAATACCATAGACCTACAGCCGGCTGTAATATTTCCAATAGCTTCTATAGCCGGTTACACAATTTCTTATAGCCTTTTATAGCCGATGGCGATTAAGCAATGGCCAGGCGATAAGTGTACGCTAAACGATACTAATTACAGATGCTAGAACTTAGTGAGTTTTTGGACTACTGCTCTCTTTTTGGGCCGTAGTATCTTGATTTATTTTGCGAGGAAAGCTCCGTACGTTTGATGGATGCCTGTCATTCCTAATATATTAGAGCGCCTTCAGTTTGGTATGATGCTGTGCAATACGTCTGGTGTGAAATAGTTGCTTCAAGCGCCGAGAGCCGTGGCACGCTGCGGCGCGGCAGGCAGGCAGCCAGCGCGGAACGCGCATTGGCGCCTACAAACCTAACAGGAATACTTCACGCGTTGCGCAATGCGTGAAGTATCCCTGTTAGGTTTGTAGGCGCCAGTGCGTCGCCGCTCCGCTTTGTGTTAGGCTCTAATATTTAATCTGGCGGAGTCAGCGTTATTCAACTCATGATTTTGAAATGTTTGCACATCCTGTATGGATTATTCTCATTTTAATTGATGAAAAAAACAATGTATTAAAGGAAAATATAATGTGTGTCTTGTAAATATTAAGGTGGTTCCGTATCAAACTTAATGAATTCCAAAGCACACGAATTTCTACACAATTTCTTATAACCTTTTATAATCGATGGCGAAAAAGCAACAGCCAGGCGATAAAGTGTAAAGCCCGACGATAGGAACTATAGTCCGGCTGCATAATTTTTTATCACTTCGTATAGCCCGGCCGTACGATTTTCTCCGCATTCTACAGCCAGCTATATGATTTTCTGTAGCCTTCTTTAGCCGGCTATAAGAATTCCTATGGTATTTTGAAACTCAGCTCTTATCGCCAATTTTTACCAGGGCCTGTATTAATTTTGTTTTTCTTTTTTGTGTCAAATCGACCCACAGCGTAGGCTATACTCTAGGACAAGAAGAAAGTATTCTGCCGAATTAAAGTACTCTTGCTTTTCTCCTTTTACTTAAAAGTCGCGACCTGCGACCAAGCGCATTGGATTACCGCCGATGTGATTCAGTTTGATCCTAGCGGCTGACGACTAATTTTTAACGAGGTTGCAGATTATCAACGCAAATATGCCCATCTCAACACAAAGATTTCGTCGATTCGACACAGAGAAAACTACCACAAAAAAATCAACCAACAGCTTGTTTTCCTTCGAGTTTTATTTCCCGTTTTATCACTGCCGTGCTAAGGAAAAACGCCGTGTAAATAAGCCTTTAGACGTTGTCAGATTTCTTTTAATAAAACCGCATTCATTGGAAAAAATTTAAAAGGTTTTACCTTCAAATTTTTCAGATAATTTCGTTTGCAATTTGATCTAAAATATCTGAAAATTTCACAGAAAAATACGCATAACTTTCCTAAAAAATACACGTTCCATCCGGAGAAATTTGACAACTCTCGAATGTTCATACAGGGTTATTCAAAAGTCACGCACCACTGGCCATGAGGGGGGTGGCCATGCATTTGAAATTTTTGAGTTGTACTCCTCCTCCCTCCCCTGAGGGGATCAAAAACTAGAAAGTGCCTAAAAAATTTCCCTCTCAATATGAAGAAAAACGCCACAAACGGCAAATCGGTATCTTAATTAGATAAAGTTATGGCCAGTGGTGCGTGACTTTTGAATAACCCTGTATAACATTTTTCCTTAGCACGGCAGAACACCAGATACTTTTTCTTACTGAGCACCTGGAGGCCGCTTTCCGTAGAAACTCGGTTTACGCGCGCAGCGAGCATTTGTGCAACGACAGATCTTTCGGGCCATGTGTCCGCGACTCCGCGGGTTGCCAAGTAATTCTCTTCGCGTCGCGACGCCCGGCGCCCTCTACTCGGCGGCCTGTCGTTGGCCTTTTCCTCTTTCCTTTCCCGCTGAGATGTGTCGCGCGATAATATTTTCTGCGCACAATTCTTGACCTCTCCCTCCTACCTCCTCCCATCCGGACCCTCCTCGAGTAGCGACTTTTCCCGGCCTCTCATCGCGTCAAGTGAAATGAATGGGTGCTTTCATCAGCGTCCCACTGGTCACTGGTGCCCCGCGCTAAATTGATTGCGAGTTTCGGTTTGGCTTGGCGGGAATGTCGCGCATTTTCGCCACTCTTGAGTCCATCTGCTCTCATTGGAGTAGTTGCCGTTGCGGGATCGCTTTTGAAGGGGAGGAGGCCTTAAGTGACGCCTGCCCACCTCGGCAATTTCTGCGCGGAGGAAACTGCCCCTGGAAATTGAATGGCGAGTTCCATTCGCAGCATGTGTCCGTCTCAGGACTCATCTTTCAATTACGAAACGCGACCAGGAAAATTACGCAGAATTATCGAGTGATGGAACTTTCGTTAACATGCTCAAAGTTTACGAAAGTGTTTTAGTTCGTTGAACTGAGTCTTCGATTTGTAGAATTAGACCTTTGGTTCACCCAACTGAAATTCAGTTCTGTCGACTGAGGGCTCGCTCCAGGGCTGTCACGGAATGGATAGAAAATGAAAATTCCCTCATTTCTCTGAAAAATGTTGGCAAAATTCCCTGAAATTTGAGGATATGCGCGGGATGCTTAAAAATGGCTGATTGAGAGCACACATACTTATCATTTGTTGTTTGAAACGCTTTACATATTTTAGAGAGCAAATAAAAGTGATTCAACAATTTTTCCTCAACGCTCTTGTCGTATTTTCCTGACATTCTCGGTTGGAGCAGACTTTTTAAAATTCCCTGACCTATCCTGGTTTTTCGGACTTTGGCAACCCTGCCAGTCCTCTATGATAAAGTTCCTACAAACTAGAGACAAGAGACCCTCCACTGGCCTCTTGGCGACAGGTGGAAACTTTTACTTTCAAGGATTCAACACTTCCTATTGGAAATTTGTATAGGAGCAACAATCTTACTTACTGTACTGAAAAAATGTTACGGGCTATATAGACATACCATCCATTCCAGGCTCAGAGACTAAAAGTTCCGGGTGCTGAAGCCGTAGTTTTGATTTCTCCGGGTGCTACGCCCGGAACGCGGACAGTATGTCTGTATAGCCCGTAAGTACGACTTCCACGGCCGGAGTTCTTTTTCAGTGTGGGTGGATGAAGAGCTCAGGTTGACGTAGTCAGTCGAACAAGTTCACAAAATTTCGGTACGTTTGCCAAACGAAATACTCAACACGTTGTTCAACATCCACTTAGTGCTTCTTGTGCGGGTAAGTTAACAATTGGTTGCGGTGGCGTGGCGTGAATGATCGATGTAAATCCCCATATTCCCCATTTAAATCCGTGGTAAGGAATCGATTAACAGGATGTTCGCTGCGGACACCCTGTTAATCAATCCTTTACCATTGGTGTAAATGACGGATCAATCTATACATTGCAAAGCACGCCACGCCACTGGTTGGTTGATGGAGCCGCGAGAGTAAAAGCGTCCACCATTGTCAAGATACCAATGGAGGGTCGGTCTTTGTGTCTGCTGCTAACTGAGCTATTTGATTCGTACGATTGGATTGCATTTTGCAAAAAGGAACCAGAGGCATTGCAATGATGCTCAGATTGTGCAAATTCATCCATCGCAGTAAAAAAACTGAAATCTTGGAAAAATATGAAATTTACATGGTAATTTTTGTCTTAGATTCACAGTTTTCAGCGAGTAAAATAGAAACTGTCAATGGACAGGGTGTCTACAAAAACAGACTGACCAGAAATCAGTAATTCTTCAGTACTTTTTCAGTACATTCCAAAGAAATTCAGTACCTCCTCAACAGAAAAATTCAGTACTTTTTCAGTACCTCTAATTGACGAAATTCGAAAAATTTCAGTTTCTCGCTCAAATTGCGATAAAAATGACAAAATTCCGGACCTTTCTGCGGAATTTCCGCACTTTTTCAGCACTTCCGGACCGCCCTTAAAAAATCAGTACTATTTCCGGACTTTCCGGAAATTCCGGACTTGTGGACACCCTGAATGGATAATCAAGTTTTTTTTCCAAGACAAAAGAAGTTGCACAATCTTAGCAACATTGCAATGCTCGTGGTTCCTGTATGCAAAATGCAATCCAATTCGTCGCTCCTCTATGACTTAAGGGCGTATCTCGATTTCCACGTGAGCCCTGTCCTCCGTATAATTCTATGCATTCCGCGGCTCATGTAGAAATTGAGATAAGCCCTTACGTGAGAGGAGCGGCGAATAGAGGTTATTGGTGTCGAGAGAAGGCGATGAGAGGAATGAAGAAGGGACTTACGTAGCTAATCATGGGGATGTTCTTGGATTGGGCGACGATGGCTTCGACGTAGCAGGAGCCCTCGGGACCGAAGAAGGCGGAGACGCCCTCGCAGAGCATGTCGACCATGTGCTCCGTCGCCTTGACCGTGTCGCCGCGCGTGTCCACGTAGCGCGGCACCAGCGTCACGTTCGGCAGGATCGACGGGTCCTCGTTGATCTGCAACTCAACCCCCACATCATCAGACAACAAGAAGAAACATTCGTGTTCGATCAAAACGCACAACTTCATGCACAAGCTTACCTCAAAAGAAGGAAAAACTTTATAATTTTTTTCGAATGCCTTCAAGCGTCCAGCCCACGTACAAACTAAACGCTCCAAAGAGACTCATTGGTTACCCCGACTTGCACCTCTGGCCAAAGGGAGAGCCGGGAAAGCCATCGATAAACCTCTTTGAAGCCGCTGGTTGGTACGTGCACTAGAAAAAAAAACACATTGGATCTAGAGTCCAGACTCTTAAAAACATCGACAAGAAAAAGTACTCTTGATCCAATCAGAATCTAGCTGAAATCAAGAACCAAGCCTCTTAATTTGAGCGGATTTCCTTTTAATTTAAGCTTAAATCTGATTGAATCAAGAGTCCTTTTTCTTGTCAATGTTTTCAAGAGTCTGGATTCTAGATCCAATGTGGTTTTTTTTCCAGTGTGGGCTGGACGCTTTACGAATTCAGATGTCCCTGTTGATGGGCTCATCGGACCGCGTTTAGCAGCAAGGAACCAAGCCTGTAACTTTTTCTGATGGCAGTTCATTATTTGGACCGCGTTTAGCAGAAAGGAGGCAAGCCACATCAGCTACTGCCAAATCCAACTGGGCAATTTAATTTTTTACAAGAGAACGTTCGTGCAGATTCTTTGGAAAATTTTAAGGAATTTGCTTCGAACTTGGCTGAAAATTTACCGAAATTTGCAAAAAAAATCTGCTAAGTCGTTTTCATGTAAAAAATTAAATTGCCCAGTTTGGCAATAGCTGATGTGGCTTAGTTCCTCTCTATTCAACGCGGTCTCATTAAAGTACGTTTCTGAGAAATATGAAACTTTCAACTAGTTCCGATCATCTAAATATTTTCATGCACCTAGCAATACTAATCCACACAGGTCAGCCATTTCGCATCGTTTTGGGATCTCACTCGACCCCTTCCATGCAGGGTGCAGGGTGACGTCACATTGACTGCTTCCGTGAGAAATACATCGCATTTAAATATCCTTCCACAACAAGCAGTAGGGTCTCAAAACTCGCCTACGGGAGGGACTGACCTGTGTAGATTGGTCTTGATACCTAGTTAAAAACTTAGATGTTGAGACTATAAGATTTCCTCTCTTTTTAGGGGTTGCAAAGTTACATAAAATCGCAGATTTGTTTCCGTCGTGGAATGATACAAAATTAAGAATCATAATGTTATAAATTCAGACATTGAGCTGGAGGAGGGGGGCAGCCCCCCCGCTCCCCCGGAAAACCCTGAATAAGTTGCCATAAGTTTAAAATATTTTTGCGCGAAGATGGAGCTTTCAGTATTTCAAAGTCATTTCCTCTTTCAGGGAGAAACTTTAGCGCGTGCGTGGGGAACTGCCTGCGTATTCTTTATTCCATGGGTTGCCACAAAATTTGGAAAACAAAATTCCCTGACATTTCCCTGATTTCCCCGATACGTTTTTGTGAAATCCCCTGACAATTGAAGATATGACAGATCGTTAAGATGACGTAACTGAAAATAGTTTTCGGGCAAAATTCGTTGTTCGAAACCTCAACTCCATTCTAGAAAGCAAATCAAGGTGATTAACAACTTTTCCCTGACTTTCCGGGTATTCCCTGCCTGTGGCAACCCTCACTGGAAAAAAAAACACATTGGATCTAGAGTCCAGACTCTTAAAAACATCGAAAAGAAAAATACTTTTGATTTAATCAGATTTCAGCTTAAATCAAAAGGAAATCCGCTCAAATTAAGAGGCTTGGTTCTTGATTTAAGCTTAAATCTAATTGACTCAAGAGTATTTTTTCTTGTCGATGTTTTTCAGAGTCTGGACTCTAGATCCGATGTGTTTTTTTCCCCAGTGCTGTTATACGCCCTATGACGTGTGACTGATCCATGGCTGTCCCTGGAGAAAGGAACGACGTGGGTGACGTGGGTGCTGGAGTTACCTCGTGGAGGGCCAAGGTTAGAGCGCCGGATATAGTGAGTCCTTGTCTGCCCTTGGAGCCTTTGACGTCGGTGAGGTATCCGACGGTGAGATTGGTGGTGGTGGTTGTCGTGGCGGCGGCGGTGGCGTTGGACGTCGTGTTGGTGGCGTTCTGGTGTTGGTGCGCCAGGGCAGGGGCGATGGCGGCGGCGGCGGCGGGGGCGGGCGAGGTGTCGGCGGCGGCGGAGACTGGGGCGAGGGGACGGCCGAGCAGAATTGAGACGCAAAGCATCACGGCAAGCACCCGGCGCATGACTGGAAAACCTCACCTGCAACACGGATTCATCCCCTGTCATGAACGAATTTGCACACGAAAAGAACAAAATACATGCAAATAAGCTAAAACGAACCCATCTGCGATAGCCCCAAGACCAACCCACAAAGGTCATTGGCGGATCCAGAAAATTGGCAAAATTGCCTTCTCTCCATTTATAGCAATGGAAATATATCGATTCTTAGAGGGGCCAGTTGCTCCGCCAAGAATCGATTATTTAGCATAGTTTAAATGGAGGAAATCCGGTGTTGCCAAATTGCTGGATCCGCCTCTGACAAAGGTCATTCATTGCGCATCTTTTTGAAATTTATCCCCCCCCCCCCCCCCCCCCCCCNCAGTGATCCGATTTTAAATCCCAAGCCTCGAGAGTTGGATTTAAGAAATGCACCACGTCTAGAGCTCTATCGCAGATAAAGGAACGTATGTGCCTGGTCACAACCTCGGAGCATTGGGAGGAAACCAAGAGTGCATAAGTTCCGCAGGACACATTCTCATGCCCCAGAGTCTCAGCGTAACCCACGGCATCGGTCGATTAAACACAAAGTTGCGTTGATCAACCAAGTCCTTTGGGTTGATCGGACACAAAGAAGGAACACAGAGTAACATTCAATACGGAAATTTTTAACTGTTCAGGGTGACTTCTTCCCTTAATTTTGAAAAGAAAATAGATACAGGGAGGGGGGATGAAACTACTGTTTGGTTTTAAAAAAATCAATGAATGAATAAAATCAATGATCATCCATGAATAATATCGATCAATGAATAAATTGCAATGAATGAATTCACCGTAAGCCTGTCAACGTTCTGGAGGAACGCTACTACGGAAAATAGTTTAGTAACCGAAGGATGTTATCCCGCAACATTCTTTTCCGCATGGTTGTTTGTATGTTTGTTTATGAATATTCTGCCATTGTGGAGCACTGTAAGCAAACGGTGCGGCATGCGGCACTTACACTTGGACGTATTTCTGCCAAACGGAACTATGTGCAATTTTGATGGGAGCCCTGTTATGCATATATTCTTATGGGTCTCAGGGCTCATGTCTTAATGCACATAGTTCCGTTTGGCAGAAAAACGTCCACTTATGCAAGAGTGCGTAGCCGGTGCGCGGAGGTGCGCGTTGCAGAAGCTGCTCCACTAACGTTGTCATCCTAAGGAAAAACGCCGTACACGCTCGAACGTTGCCAGAGTTCCACCGATAAACTACAAAAATTCTGGGGATCTCCTCGAAAGAAGGAAAATAAATGAATAAAAAATTTTAAAAAGTGTTTCCTCTCTTAACAGGGCCGGATTTACCTATTTTCCACCCATGGGCCGCCTGTATTTTGCCGCCCCCTTCTCATTCGTTTTGAAACAGCAATAAAAACCATCAAGGGAACGTGCCGGAAAGGGGAGGAGTGCATAAGACGCGTTTACCTACTCGTGTTGGATACATTTTTTTGCGAAAGCCCTGTCAACACTACTGGCAAAATTTCACGGAACTTGACGCGAAAGTTATGTTCAGTAAACCTATCTCTTTGTGGACAAGATCCTACATTTATAAGAAATGAACCAACAAATTATGAAAGAACAGACATAAATATGGTTTAATAATTTTAACTTCCACCGCTGTGCCGCGTCGCGCTGATCGCACTGTCTTTGGCGCAATGTGTGAAGTATTCCTGCAGTCTTGTAGGCGCTATGCGTTTCATGCCAACCGCTCCTGACCGCGTGACCGCACTGTGTTTAGCGCAATGGGTGAAGTATTCATGCAGTCTTGTAGGCGCTAATATGTGATACATGCTGACCGCCGCGCCGCGCCGCGCCGAGGGCTTGTCCTATTCATCTCAAGTCCTCGTCATCATTCCTCTCTGCGCTGAGCTCCAGGCCAAATTGCGTATTTAGTTCCTCTCTTAACTCGACTAATTAAAGATGCTGTCTCTTGTATCACCGAAAAACGACAAAATTAGAAATTACTATACTCTCAGGAAAAAGAGATTTTGTTTCCTTTCCTTATGGATAATTTTTTTTTCTGAATCCGATTTTTTTTAAACCTACGTTTAAAAAATTGCAAAATTTGCCGCCCCCTAAATTTGCCGCCATGGACCGCGGCCCATGTGGCCACCCCCTTAATTCGGCCCTGTCTCTTAAAACTTCCGAGTTTTACTAGCAAACTGTCCAAAAGTGCCAGAAAGTTTCACGCAGGTTTTCGAAACTGATCAGCGTGTCCACTGAAATTGCATCTCGAATTTTCCTGATATTTTAAATGAAATTCTCTGATGTTTTGTACGAACTAATTGAAACTAGTTTGATGTTACGCACAAACTTACTTAGGCAACTGAATAAAATGTCCCACTTTTTCATGTGCTGACTGCAAGTCGAACAATGCTTAACGCACTCGAAATTTCCTGGTCCATCACCAATTTTCCTGATTTTTCCTTAAGACATCATATTTCCTGATATTTTCCGGTTTTTACCGAAGGTATGGATACCCGATACAAAGAATTTTCCTGATGACATCATATTTCCTGATATATCTTCCGGTTTTTACTGAAGGTTTAGATACACTGTAAATAATATATTTTATCGGGGACAATTATGCGACGTTTGAATAATCATACTGTTTTTATTATCAGAATACGATCACACAATCACGCATACCCACCGACGGGTTTCGTTTGATCACTCTTTTAACACCTCACTGCACTAAAGCGCGCGATGACACTTCAATGCGCTCCTTCAAGGTTTCCCATAAAACAATCTGCATGTGTAACATTGGCCATTCCAATATGATATCATAGTGAACGAGTATTATTTACTCTCTTGATCGTTATGTGACGTTATTGATGCAATATTAAGAAAGGATTTGTGAAGATTATCCACTGAGTTGGGTACAGATGACAGGGTTAATGTCAAAACAACAAAAAATCCTTTAATAAACATCCCAATATTTCCCCTCACTGACCGACATAAAAAGCCAAAGATAGTGGTTCCAAAAAAATTTACTCGACGCATTGCTACTGTTCGCGTTTAGGTTGCGGAGAGTTTCAAAATCACTTGATTGTCTTTTCCATGAAATTCCCTGATTTCCTCTTAAATTTCCTGGAGTTTGACGTACATCAAGGAAAATCACTGACATCTTCAAACACTCTCTAATCTGCATCTTCCTCTTTCTAGAGTTATGAAATCTTGGCACCGATATAGGGGTCAATCAGAAAAATTCTCACACAAAGCAGTTTTCACACATTTTGTATAAATACAATATTATTGAAAGGTATCTAAAAGTAAGTTCGACGTCGATTCACTATGAAGATTTTCCAAATTTCTTTGAAGAACAACGCGTCTCCTGCCTTTCTCTCTTTGCGGGTTCAGTCGAGAAAGTTGGAGGACTTTTCCGGCGCGACTGTTTGATCGTGCAAGGGACAGGTGGATTACATTTTGCAATAAGGAACCACTATCTCTGGCTCTCCCATGAAAGCACATATTTGCGCAGGGAAACCATTTGCATGAGTGCTGTTTCTAAATTGGACCAGAAATGGTGGTTCCTTATAGCAAAATGTATACCAAGTTATCGCGGAGATCCGTTTACCCCCACAATATCTAACAATGGACAAGAGAGGGCTATGCAGGACTGACAGCATGATTCCTTCTGAAATCGAGACCTTAGTTTTAGCTCAAACCTAATTATTTCCAATTTTCTCACGCTCTCTATCCCAGCTGAGAACTGGAGCTATGCTGCCATGCTACGGAAAAACGCCCTATGAACCTTCAGGCATTGCCAAATTTCCTTTCATAAACTGCGAATTTCCTGGTAAACCTACGAATATGTTCCTTCCGATTATTCAGATACTTTTGCTCGTAATTTCACCTAAAGTTCCTGAAAATTTCAAGGGAAAATATTCGTAACTTTCCTAAGAAATGAACATTTTATCGAGATTTGGCAACTCTCGATTGTTCATACGGCGTTCTTCCTTAGCATGGCAGTGTGAAAGGGATACCATTTGTAGACGATCCGTGCTCCTGAATCGCTCCGGTCAAGGCGATGGCAAATGGTCCGTCTCCGCAAGACGACTGGAATCGGCTGAACGTGATTCGTTCGGAGATAGTATCGAAACCAGATAACTTAATGAGAGGAAATTTTCTTTAAACGCTGGCACGTGCGATACGAGCTGCCGTTACGGGTAGCAGCATGGCATAGCGCCGACCCCCCCCCCCCCCCACACACACACACACACAAAATTAAAGACGCCGTGCGTGCGTGGACAATGCCAATCATGACAGGATCGTGAGACTTCTCGAAACGATTGGGGGCAGATGTTCTCGGTTTTGATCAATTAATTTTAAAAAGAAGCCAAAATTTTTTCCAAAAGTGATGCGTCAGGTTTGATGACAGGCTCTCGAATATTTTCAGCATCTTTAAACAAAAATAGGAGATTAAACAAACGGAAAATTTTCAAAGAATGTGATCATTACGGATAATGATCATGTTCTTTGGTACTTAGTGGATTAGGTGTTGATGCACAGCTGTCGTTTCTGCATTATCAACTGATCACTTTTTAAGTGATTTAAAATCCCTTTTCATTTTTGAAAGACCTTCACCTTAACTCCCTCATTTTGTGAAGTTCCGTGCTATTTGAAAAGTAGGTGCGTTTAGGGTGGAGGTGGTAAATCCACGGTTTCTCTGCAACGCTTTGATCAAAATACAGCATTGGTGCTTTTTAGGTGAATGGGGTTCACTTTGACATTCATCGTCGCATTGCATTACGCTAATTTTTACACGGGATAAACAGAAAAGTCAAAAATAAAGGGAAAATCCGATGAAACTCATGCAGTGGCGGATATTTGAACTTTAACATTTGATATTTTTTATTTTTTGGATTTTTTTAAAACTTAAACGAGTGTGTGGAGTCATACTGTGAAAAGGCAGACATCATGCACGGAGCTAAACAACGCGAGAAGAAAAGCGCTATTTTTCATTTTATAAAATAAATCCTGGGATTGAGAAGTATATTGTCT